ACAGGGGTAAATGGGGTTGTTATGACTTCCTTGGGCCCCTTGAGCACCCAAACCCATAAACCCAAACCCGTAGAAAGGAATCACAAGGGAGCTCTTGAGTTCCTTTGCTGGGAACTTACCTGAAGGATTTTTCTTACCGGTGGAACTGGACAACAACATGCAAATTACTGAAATACTTCCGGCTTAAGCAAGGGGAAATCACGTGCAAGCCACTTGGTCAATGAGTTCAGGTCTAGGCCTCAGGGTTGGTTAGTAGCCAGATCCCCTAAAGGATCCCCCAAAAAATGGAACCCCGTAATAATCCCCTACGTTCCCCCATGTAGCAACGGAGCCGCCATGTTTTGGGGCCTCCGTTTTTTGGATCCTTGCCCTAAACCCTAAACCCTAAGCCTTTAGGGGGCCTGGGTAAGGAGTAAAGGAACGAGACTGTTGTAGGAGCTCATCCCTCCTAGCTGCTGACATGGAATTAGGGTTTAGGGTTTAGGGTTTAGGGTGGAAGCCCCTTCTTGGAAACATCGCAACTAAGCTGTTCAGTGAGCTGTGGGCAACTTATTCCCTAAACCTAACTAGAAGTTTGCCTCTGATGTTCCATCTGATTTTCCACACAAACTCCGAGCCAGCAAAACCCAGGAGTGCTGGAGAAATGAAATCCAAAGCATATGGCTGGACAGCCCCACACCCTCCACTTCTACAAAAAAACTTGGGATCTTAAGGTAATACCCCTAATCACCTCCCGCTAGTAGCGACCTTCCCCGCCGCTGGTCATGAATCTCCCCCTGGTATGGTATCGAGGGAATCCAGCACTACTAGGGGGGGTTGGGACGGGGTGGAGTTTGGAGGGCAAGGACGCTAAACTCTAAACCGAAGAGATCAACCGCATGCCCCAGTAGTTGAATGTTGATGGAAGAAACCTTGCATCACATAGGGGCCCTATTCTATGGTAGTCTTACGGATGGTTAGTAGGGAATATACGGGAATACAATATACAGTTTAGTTTAGGGCTTAGGGTAGGCACACGATTCAGTACTTAAGGTGGTGCAAGATTTCTTTTCCATCAACAGTCAGTGGTCCCGCAAACCTCTTTTTCAAGTGTCGCTGTGCTATGCTTCAAATCAGCTGAGAGTGCAGATCTGCGCATATTCCGGAGCTGCCGACATTGTGTGGCAGCGGGTGAAACCCTAAACCCTAAAGCCCTATCTGATGGAGGCGGGGTTTCTCAGAGCACGGACACCCTTCAGTAACAGGAGCATATTAGGCCGGCCAGTAAAAAAGGGGATTCTTGGGGGGGGCTCGCAAGGATTTTGTAGAGCTAGCTTCGAGGAGCTCTAGGGTCCGTAGTGGTATACAGAGAATTTCTGAGCACCTAGGGAGGGACCCCATAACAGGGGATTCAACAGGAATTCGATGTTTTGGGGCTTAGGGGTTTTGGGGTTTGGGGGTTCTAGGGTTTTGGGTTTTGGGGTTTGGGGGGCCCTGCTAGAGAATACATGGGGAGTGTTTTGAGAAACTCCCCGATACAAACATGGCGAAACATGGCCTGACCTGAACGCCAAAACTCTAGGCATAAACTTCCTGGTTGTTAGTAGGGAATGAAGGGTTTTCTACTAACTATATAGTATATTCCCTTATTCCCCACTAAGCCCAGTAGGCAAAAAGGCCTAACACCCTGACGGATGTAGAGTTCAGCAACTAAAGCTTAGCGGCTAGTTCATTTCATTTTCCGTTGTCTTTTCCGTTTCTTCTCTACTATTCTATAGGTATCAAGCCTAAACCCTAAACCCTAGACCCTAAACCTTCAACCTGACAATTCTTCTGGCCTCAAACCATTATCCCTAAGGGTTGACGACTCCGAGTCACCAGGAGCTTGGCAATCAGGAGGACTATAAGGGTTGTATAATTCGGATATCTAGGTTTACTATATGGGTTATAAAATGAGGAAAACCAGGGTTACTATATGGGTTATAGGGGCTATTAGCCGAATTGCTCCTAAGCTGTCTCAGCTGGCTCAATTTGCGGCAGCTGTCCGTGCTGCCCTACCACTTCCACGTGCCCGTCGTGATCCACGTTCCTCAGCTATGCCCGCAAACCCACAACCCTAGGCCCTAAACCCTAAACCCTAAACCCCCTAAACCCTAAGCCGCAAACCCTAAAACCCTAAGCCGCAAGCCCAAAACCCTAGTGACTCAGATGAACCAAAAGCTCAGTGCTCTGAGCCTGCAGCTCCAAACTCTCAGCACTCTAAGCCCTGAACTCTACATTGCTGTTTAGGGTTTAGGGTGTAGGGTTCGGGCTTAGGGTTTAGGGGTTAGGATTGCACTAAACCCCTCTAAATGCCCCACACCTTCAGTCCGAAGCCTCAAGCCCCTGACCCCTAAACCCGGAAACCTCAACCCTACGCGGTTAACATTTAGGGTTTAGGATTTAGGATCGCGGGTTTGGCCTGGGCATTGTGCCCTAGGCCAAGCACCCTGGACCTTCAAGACCCTAACCTCAAATCATAGACCCTCGCAAATCCTACATCCAAACTCTAGATCCTGAATCCCAAGCTCTAAACCCTCAACCCCAAACCTTAAACCTGCGAACCCAAAACACTCAAACCTGAATCCCAAACCCCTTAAGCCCTAAACCCTAAAACCCAACCCCCAAAGCCTCAAATCTCCAACACACCCATCCCTCCCAGAAGCCAAAAATCCTAGGCCCTATAATCCCTAGAATCCTGAAATCTCTTAAGCCCTAAGCCCTAAGCCCTAGGCCCTAAATCCTGAAATCCTAAATCCAAAACCCTAAATCCAAAACTCTAAATCCAAAACCCTAAGCCCTAAACCCTAAACATCCGAAACTCTAAATCCAAAATCCTAAATCCAAAACCCTAAATCCTAAACCCTAAATCCTAAACCCTAAATGACAGCCATGGCTCATGAGCCTCGCCTGCGATGGCCCTTGGATCATGCGCTGCCGATGGTGGACGCAACCTGGTCTAGGGGTATACAGGGCCCCCAGAAGGGTTAGGGCTTAGGATTTAGGGTTCAGGGGGTTTAGAAAAAGGTCCTGAAAAACATGATGAGGGTATATAGGGTTAGTAAAGGAATGGAATAGTTAATAGAAACCCTAAACCCCGAACCCTTAACCCCCAGAACCGTAAACCCTAAACTCATAAATCCTAAGCCCTAGGCCCCTAGCAGCAACCAAGCAACTGCGGAGCTGCTGTCGGGTGCACGGAAAGCACAAACCTGGCAAACTCGGTTTAGGGTTTAGGGTTTAGGGTTTAGGGTTTAGGGTTCGGGGGAGTTTAGGGGTTATGCAGGGCTTCTATGGGTATTGTATGGTGAGCGGAAAAGAAAATGAAAACTACTATTTAGGGCCTGGGGCTTAGGAAGGTAGAGTTTAGGGTTTAGGGATTAGAGCTTAGGCTTTAGGGATTGGGGTTTACGGATTGGAAGTTTAGGATTTGGGGTTTTGGGTAGCCAAAAATTCAATGGCTTGGGCTTCGGGGCTTGGGGTGTCGAGGCAGGTCAAAGTCTCGAGGCTCGGGTCGTGCAGTTAAGGATGAGCAAGGATTATCCCGAAAGTTTGTCTTCTAATGACCTGAATGGCCCGCCCGTGGACTCCGCACTCATTACCTCTCCTATGTTAAGCTCCTCACCTCCCCAAAAAGCTGAATATGGTTCCCAGCATACAAGAGGGCTACTGCTCTGAGGAACATTTCAGATCAGGTTGGGGGGTAACGGTGGTGTTTGGTATTACTTGGATGGTCAGGGGGACTTAGTATGCAGGTTTTTGATAACGGTGATAACTAGGGTTACTATATGAGTATGGTTATAGGGGTTAATAACCTACTTACTAAGTCACCCTGACCCTCCAAGTAGGGTTAGGGGATGAACGTGAGGCAAGATACGCAGCATGTGCCGAGGAAGGTCTCCAGCATCCAAGCTATCCAGTGCGGTCCTGGGGAGCACAATTTTCGATCCTCAACATCTGAAAAATTTCCAAGATTAGGGGAATCTCTGGGGGGGCCCCCATAGTAAGGATGATCGTATTTTGGGGGTCTGCATGTTGGTCCCTTATTTTGGGAAACTACCATTTCCTAAGAGACGCTATAAACTGTGGGGATGTATTTATGTGGGCAATTACAACATGGAAAAATGCTGCGAGTCTGGTGCAGTTAAAGTGGTAATGATGGAGATGGCAGCAGTAGCCGTTGAGTGGTGGTGAAGTCAGCAGCAGCAACAGCAGCGGCAGCAAATCATCTTTATCTTGAGCATCATTGCAACTGTTGTTGATTCCCGCCCCAGCGGCAAAACCTGTAACAGCAGCAATGGTAATGACAGATTATTTCTAGTCTTCATCCTATTCATTTGCTTTAAACAGCCAGAACAAACCAAAGACAGCCGCTATCATTGCCATTGGGGCTACCGCCCTGAGCCGTGGGTCCTGGGAACCATGCCACCATGAAGCGGAGGAGGCTGTAATCCGGCTCCGGAGGCTTCGGCCCTGCAGATGGTGCTGGTGTTGGGGCGCTTGCTGGCCAACAACGGCGGCCTCGCTTGGAGTAATAGCCTCCATCTTTGCCTGGATGGCTGCTAAGGAACTTAAACTAATGTTGCCATGCCAGTAATATACCACCCCCCCAAAAATAGTTGTTGGTGGGGGGGGGGGTGGTGTCGCAATAATAAACCAAGGGTTGGGGTAGGACCAGGTAGTGCAGCTCGCAGTACTAGTAGGACACATAGAATGGAATCGGTTTATTCTTGACACCCCCCTATAATTGCCGATGGAGCTTGTTTAGACCCTTCCGCGTTCCGAACGTGTTTCAAAGCAAATGTAATCTTCCTGGATTCTTCTGGCTCGGCAACAATATATTATTGCCACCCCTTTATTAATGAGATGGTAACATTAAGTTGCTACATAGGGAACCCCACTATTAGCATTACTATTATGTACCCTTAACAGAAACCCATTGGCAAAGGCATTGGCCATCGTTCCAAATGCAGCCCCTCTGCTTTCCGTACCAGTCGCAGTTGGAGCGATCATAGGGCAGCCCACGATTTGAAACACAAGTGCTTGCATTTTTATCAGGTGCGGCAGGGCCTGGCTCCTGAGTCGTAGTCGCAGTTGTGCTACGCTGGGTCGCTGGATCAGGGGGCCAGCAGCGTCGACCGGTCTTGGAATACACCCCACCGTCCCTGCAAATGCATCTACTGCCTTGCCAAATGCAGCCACGTCCTGCTGCAACCCATTCGCAGTGCGACTGGTCATACGGAAGCCCTTTGTTGGACACACAGACACTGCTGTTATCGGCGGATGCTAAAGGGAGGGTTGCTGCAGTGGTCGTAGCTGGCATCACTGTGAGAGCTGGTGGCCAGCAGCGACGGCCAGTTTTAGAGTAGACCCCCCCATTCTGACAGACACATTCGCCATCCTTCCAAGCACAACCTCTTTGCTTCCCGGGCCATTCACAATGAGACTCATCCTTGGTTGCTGTTGAGAACCTTAAATTAAGTTACCATAATATAGATATATAGTAAAGAATGGGGTTCCTTCTTATAGTAACTTAACTTAAGTTCCCTAACAACAGCCAGGCATCGTATGGCCTCCCTCGGTTGCTGACGCACACGCTTTGGTTGCCCTCTGGCTTCAAAGCATCCGCGCAGCCGGCAATGATGATCAGAGAGACAGCCGCGAGGAATTTCATGCCGTGATGTTTGTATTGGGAGCTACACTTCCCCCCAGGGACAATGCAAGATGTCGCATTTCGAATTTTATCGTGCTATCTGAGTGAAAACAAGAACGGAAATGAGCAAAAACTTGCTTCCGACCCCGGGCTTCTTGTAAACAACTCTTGCTGTGAGGGTGGAACGTCTGGAGGTTGAGCCAGTCTAGCCTGCGGGTGCGTATTACGCAGACCATGGTATAGGAGGTATGGCATACTCTGCGCACGTTAAGTGACTTCATTCAAACAACCTTCGCAGGCCTTTTACGTGAAGGAAACTCCTATAGAATCGCATGCAATCTACATGCAACCCTGCTCGCGGTCTTGATAAAATGCCAGGGCCGAGTCCGTAAACCCAGCCCTCATTCCCAAACTATACAGGTCCTATACCACGCTACAATCCCTTTACAACCTCCTCTATTCTCAGACCCTAAACCCTAAACCCTAAACCCCTAAACCCTAACCCCTAAACCCTAAACCCTAAGCCCCAACCCCCAGTCGTTGCACAGGCTTCCTGGTTGTACTGTGGCTTTCTGATGGCGCTTGACAGGTCAAATGCTCGTGCTCGAATTGTTGGCCCTGAGTACGGACTGCTGGCCTTGAAATTTTCTGCGTTGCTGTTCAGGAACTGAAATTCCACAGAAGCAACCCAGTTTCTTGCATGACCCTAAACCCTAAACCGTTACAGAGGGGCCAGTTTGTGGGATTGCGTGGAACCCTACAAGTAAAATGAGCGTCTGTCAACTATGGCAGTTGCCGACATTGGGCGTTTTTTCTCAGACAGAGGAAGAAGCACAGAAGGACCATAGTTCCCACAAATCCTGAACATCAGCTCCCAAACCCGAAGCCGTGGGGGCTGTGATCTGGAATTTACTGGATCCTTGGGGCGAAGCAATGCAGAGAATCAGGACCAGTGAGGCAGCCAGGAGTACTGCAACGGTGGCTTCCTGCGCTTGTGGGCATGCCGGGGCTCGTGGAAAAAGGCTTAGGGTTGAGGTTGTTGGGGTTGAGGGTTTCCGGTTTAGGGTTTCAGGGTTGATTGTTTAGGGGTTTCGGGTTTGGGGGTTGAGAAGTGGCTTGCGGGGGCGAAGCCGTAGCTAAAAGCACTCTGCCACTGCCTTTACAGCCACCTCCGCTACCGTCATCGCCACCGCCGCTGCCACTGTCACTTCCCTCACCGGCACCATCACCAACAGCACCAGCTTTTGATAAACCCTAAGCCCTAAACCCTAAACCCTCTAAACACTTGTGCTGACAAAGCGCTATACACAGGAGCCTAAGTTTCTTCTGACAGAAAATGCGGGGTAATGTTTATGTGCCTTCCTGATGGTCCTTGAACGTAAGTCCTACAAACCCATTGCGGACTGAAAGATTCCAGGGCAAGTACACATACCATATATATACGTATATATATGTACACCTATACAGATAGTATAGATATATACACATAACAGATACACCCGATTCAACAACCTCAGATTTGTCCGTAAATCCGTAGCCCTAAACCCTAAACTTTAAACCCTAAACCCTAACCCCTAAACCCCAACTCCTTACCCTCTAATCCTAAACCCCCACCGCCTAACCCTAACTCCTTACCCTCTAACCCCAAAACCCTTGACGCAAGACTGGGGCTCTGGCGTCCGTGGCCATCCAGCCCAAGCTGTGGCCAAGTTGTGCCAAGCACAGGATGGAACAGGCCTCTGCTGGGTTCAGGTTGAAGGTTTAGGGCGTAGGGTTTAGGGTTGAGGTTTAGGGTTGAGGGTTTAAGGTTGAGGTTTAGGGTTTAGGGTTGAGGTTTAGGGTTTAGGGTTGAGGTTGGGTTTTAGGGTTTAGAGAAGAGAAGTTAGGATTAGGGTTGATGTTAAAGAACTTAGGTTAAGATACCGTAAGAAGGGCGTATAGGGTGAAGGGGTTGGGTTACCATGATATGTGCATATACGGCTTAGGGTTTAGGTTACCATAATAACATAATATGGGTATATACAAAATAGCGGGGTCTCCTTCTTACAGTATATAATTCAAACAAGTTCGTTAATAGCAGCCCAGCTTAGGTCGTGATATTGATAGCTGTTGGCTTGGGGTTTTAATGTTTGGGGTTCAAGGGTCAGGATGTAGGTTGGTTCAAGGTTCGGATCGAAGCTGTAGAGTTTATGGCTTAGGGTTGCGGATTCAAGTCTTTATATATTTGGCATCTGGGTCTCCTAAACCCTAAACCCAACTCAGGACTTTGACTCTTGGGTGTTTAGAGTCTCCGGCGTAGGGCTTGCGTCATGTGTAGCGAATGCCATCCCAGTACTGAGAACGATGGTAGTAATCATACCCTGAACCTCCCAGTTACCTGAATAGTAGGCTACTGGGTCATGTAACTATAGGGTGTATATAACGTAGAACTCGTGAAAGAAGGAAACTGGAGCCCCTAGAAAACTAGAGTGTACTAAGGTGTCAAACGGTGGTGAGGGTGTGACAGGAAAGTCAGCATCTCTGATCTACTTTCCTGCTTTCATGAATACCTACCGTGGTTAAACTATACCCCCAAGACATTTTCCACATAAATAGGACTGGGCAGTTCCCTCGAATCGTTTCCATAGTCATTTCTACCCTGCAAGCCCTGCATATTCAGATTCATTGCCGTTCACTATCTCAGACCATTAAAGTCTGCGGTTTTAAGGCCTTTGATGGGGGTCCTAAAGCTGTGAGAATCTTGGGCCAAAACCAAGGAGCAAACAGAAGGGGGACCACGATGGGTTGACCACCAACAGACCTTGGACGAACCTCTTGAACCCAACAAAACACAAACGAATCTTGGCAAAGGGTGCTGACTTGGACGAAGGGAAGAAGCAGTTTGTGAAGCAGTGCCTTGTTCTTTGATTCCCGCCTCTTATCCTGCACCCAAGGGAGTTGACCAGCCGCAACCCCACTCAAACCTAGACAAATGTCATCTTCTGAGCATCCCCTTAACATGTCAAACCTGAAGCCAAACCCAAGACCCGAAACACCCACGGACAATGTTTGTATCATCTTGTTCATACTCTTCTCAGGCTAGAATGACTCCTATGACCCCTCTTGTAGTACTAAAATGACACTACTATCATACGATCATTACTTTCCTTGATACTCTTGGATCCCAAGCCCTAAACCCTAACCCCGAAACAGCGTCTTGGGTTCCGGCGAGGTAGCACAGCAACAGCCTTAGGACAAGGAACAACTGGTTCATGCCGAGTTGCAGGTGGGGCTTAGGGTGTAGAGCATAGGGTTTAGG